GGAGTATGAGTGTAGGATGATGGCTAGAAAACCAGAAATAACCATTCCGGTCTCCCTTTGCTTTGTCGAATTCTTTTCATCCTATCTCATAAGTCACTATGTGACTGGCTGTGCGGGCTCTAATTGTGAGCTTCTGGACAAAGCGGAACTTAACTGTTCCACTACCAGATCGACGGGGCACATATATTCATACTTTATATTGTCCAAAGGTGCCTTTTCAAGGATTACATACGGAGGCACAAACTGAGAAAAAAACTGTCCCATGAATATTTATTTCTTCATCACTGGAAAAGGAGGAGGGGGCAATTTTTGAGACGTCAGCTAAAATGCAACCTGGTCTCACTTTTTCTTCCTCTTCCATGGAGGAGGAAAGGAATATTATATCTGGACCTCGAATTTTTGCGCATGTCCCATGAAACGCTATACATGAGCACGTTGGGAAGGGTTCAGGAAGGCTGCTTTAATCTACGTGTCTACAATTAAATCGGAATTTTGTTTCTGAACGTCACTCACCAGTACATAGATATTAGGTGACAATTCTTGGAAATTAATGACGGCTTCTCCACTTGCATAGCATGGGATAAATATTACTTGTTCGACTAAAAGTTGGTTTTCATTTTCCGCTTTTGATTCTCACTCTGAGTCTGTGAGACCGGAGCTTTTAATGTGCAGAACAAAAAATGTGATTCGGTCGTTCTCTTTCCAATTGGTTCGTAAAATATGAATATTAATGCAAAAAATGCATTTCTCGCAGGTGTTCATCGTTTATGGAATGCAGTTTTTGTAGGTGGCTGAAAAAGGCGCAGTCAAAGGTGGCATCGTTGTGCGACTGAAGGAATTAGGGATTTTTCTACACGAATATTGATATCCCAACTCCAACAACGCCATTTTGGCCTTTAATTCAAGTCGGCTTCAACTTGTCCGCGTGTTTTAATTAACTCGCAACTGCTCAAACATTCCTGGCCTTATTTTACGTTCCTAGCGTCAGAATTGCGTTGCGTATCAAGTTAGAGTTGGGGTCAGCATGTGAGCTTCCACATAACTCAGATACCGTAGCCCTCTATGAACTTAAATAAAGTTACACTTTTCTTACAGACGGAATCCCTTTTTAAATTAGAGTAAGCTTACAACATAAAGAAGTACACTTGCTTATTTTGTGCGACATCCAGGAATATAAGCATCATTCCAAATCACTATTAATTTTGGCGCACCTCCTGTTTTTTGGACTGAAATCAAAACTTTTCGTGCCCTATCCACAGAAAGGGTTGGACTTCCAATTCTTACTTTGTCTTGTTTGAAGGCAATGAGAGATTTCATGGCTTATTGTCTGAAGGATAGCCATTTAGCAGTTCCGCAAAGCAGAAGCAAAGAAATCCCGATACGATTCAAATCATGCGCTTAAATTATTTCATGCAGGATGGAGAATGCAAATACCAGCAGTCGCTGGTTGTTGCCAATATCAGTTTCACCATGATCATCGCTCCAGGATTCGAGGGGAATCTTCTTTATGCCGTTGCAACCAACATTCCCGTATCTGAGAAGAAGAAGACTTGATCGCTGGGACAATATGTTTATTAGCCGGACGTTTCGATATCCGTCGCGGATTCGTCATCAGAGACATGAGTAGCAGAGTACTGCCGTATCTGTTGCAATTGACGCTAGCGATCCAGGATTTATGTCTTACAGGTCGGTCACTCTTGCAAAAAAGTATTATTATCCGATTCAGAGCGTTAATTTTAGCCTGAGAAGACATTCATCTTAAGAAGTTTGTATTTTAGTATATTTTCCCCATTTAATGGCCGTAAGTGCACAGAAACACGTGTTTCGTCGATCTCATGCAACTGCATGAGAGGCGTTTGGCTCATCAGTGGAGTCCCCAACGTACCTTGTATTTTCTGGTACGGTGCCGGTACTAATGTCCCCCATGTATTTACAATTTCCAAGCAGGTGGAGAAAATCTACATTTGATGACAACAATACGCGCCAGAATTCATGCAAAATGCCGACATATGCGAAAGATTGATACTCTTTCGCTAATCGGCATTGACTCA